CTTTAATATATTTTAGAATTGATTTTTGTATGTGTTAATTGGTTTCCCTTTTCTTTGTTGAAGAGGGTCTGTGCAGTCTCTCTGCCTAGGATGTTACAAAATCTGAACCCAGCATTTTTTTTTTTTTTTTTTTTTGCATTTAAAAATCATTTAATTTTTTTAAAAAATTTACCAGATAAAATTTTCAATTATTGAAGGTTTGTTGTTTGGTGAATGTTGATTAACCTGTATTTTTTTTGTAAGGATTTTGTTGTATCTCAGCCTAGAAGAACTAGGTGGTGCCCAGCTACCACTGTCAACCATTCAGAAAGGGATCACTGCAGGAGATCCTGGATACAGTGAAAGAACAACGTGGAACAAAACACAAAATCATTTTTTAAAAAAAAGAGATTAGGTTTGCTGGTGTGATAGAGCCTGGGGAGACCCCTGAGACTATGGCTCCTACTGAACTGAACTTACTCCTGAGTCTTCCAGCCAAGCAACAGACAGGCAAATGGGGTGAACATTCACATCAGGTTGATACACTCTTTGGAGAGATCAATCAGGGGAGAACAGAAGAGCAGTGTTTGCATGGGGAGACAGCTGGGGGGTGGGGGTGGGAGTGCATGGAAGGGAAGGACACAGGTGAGGGGTAACAGGTGGGAGGAAGTGGGAAGATAGCTGTTACACTGTACGGAACTGTAGTCAATGTCATGAAACAAAACGTGTATGAAATGCTGTATGGAAAATGAATTTGCTCTGTAAACTTTCACCCAAATCACAATAAAAATTGAAAAAAAAAGAAAAAGAAAGAAAGAGCTGCCTTCTCAAAGTAGAGTTAACCTTAATGACAGCGAGGGAGTAAAGCTTTCAGGACCTTCATTTGCTGAAGTGGCATGATTCAATAAGAAGAAACAGCTACAAACATATATTAATAATTGGAATGTACGAAGCATGAATGTAGGAATAATGGAAGTTGTCAAAAATTAAATGGAATGCTTAAAAATAGACACCCTAGCCATAAGCAAGCTGAAATTGAATGATACTGGCCATTTTGAATCAGACAATCTTAAGATCTACTATGCCCAAATGACAAATTGAAGAGGAATGGTGTTGTTTTCATCATCAAAAAGCATATTTCAGGATCTATCCTGAAGTGCAGTGCTGTCGGTGATAAGAAAATATCCATACGCCCACAAAGAAGACCAACTAATATGACTATTATTCAAATTTATGCACCAACAACTAAAGCCAATGATGAAGAAATTAAAGATGTTTCCCAAATCCTGTAGTATGAATTTGACTAAACATGCAATCAAGATGTCTTGATAATAACTGGTGACTGGAATGTGAAAGTTGGAAACAAAGAAGAATCACTGGTAGTTGAAAAATATGACCTGGGTGATAGAAATGACCCTTAAGATATCATTACAGAATTTTGTAAGACCAGTGACTTATCCATTGGAAATTATCTTTTTTCAACAATATAAATAGTGACTATACATGTGGACTGCAGAATACAAAGGAATTATATTGACTACATCTGTCTAACAATGGAGAACATATATCATCAGGCGGAGTAAGTTATCAAAGAAGTGGGACTACATGAAGAACGCAGCAACAGGATTGAAGGAAGATTCATTAAAAACCTGCAATATAAAGCATCTTCTCAGATCGTAAGACTATTAAGCTAGAAATCAACAATGGGAAGATCAACAGGAAAAGAGTAAACACATGAAAACTGAACAACATCCTCCTTGAGAAATTGGGTAAGAGAAGATATCAAAATTGAAATTCGAAAATTCCTTGAATCAAATGAGAATGAAAACACAACATACCAAAATCTTTGGGACACAGCAAAAGCAGTGATCAGAGGCCAAT